CACATCTAATGATAAGAGTTGCTCTCTTTTTCCTGGTGTAGCAATTGGGGACACTTTTACAGGGGAAATTTCTGTCATCTTCACAAAGGGAAATACCCTACATTATTTGGGTAAAGAGAAGACAGAGAACTCTTCCTACACCTGTTGATTTTCAATTGCCTTCAGTTGAAAATAATTCTTATGCCAAAGTAGAATAATTTGGGGGTGACATCCTGACATTCTTCAAAACATATATTTAATTTCACATTATTAATTATATCATTTTTGATTTTTAAATTAGTTTTATAAAATAATTTTGGAAAACAGTAATGATATTCAAATAATTCCAGAAACACTGCTGCTTAGCCAAAAATGTCAATGAATATTGCATAAACAACTGATAATTCAACCATGAAAATTTATGACATTGTTCATGTGTGATAAAACTACGAGTAACATAAAAACTAGAGAGGCTACTTGTAATGCATTATTCCGAACTTTTTTTTTTTGAGACGTAGTCTCTCTCTGTCACCCAGGCTGGAGTGCAATGGTGCAATCTTGGCTCACTGCAGCCTCCACTTCCTGGGTTCAAGCGATTCTCCCTCCTCAGCCTCCCGAGTAACTGGGATTACAGGTGTCTGCCACCAAGCCCGGCTAATTTTTTTTGTATTTTTAGGAGAGACGGGGTTTCGCCATGTTGGCCAGGCTCGTCTCGAGCTCCTGACCTCAGTGATCCACCTACCTCGGCCTCCCAAAGTGCTAGGATTACAGGCGTGAGCCACCGTGCCAGGCGCATTATTCCAAACTTTCATACACAGTGCTCTCATGGCTACAAAATGAAATATCTTATTATATACCCCAAGGCAAAGCTCTGGATATTTTGGCCATGTAAGCCTGAGGGAAATGTAGAAAAGGCATTGTGGTTGAAATTCATACTAGAGATGAACAGGCCCATTGCAAGACAGAATTACATCACTAAAGGATATCAGAAGACAATAGGGATTTAGGGTACAGTGGCAACAACAGTTTTGGGAACTAGCATTTCTTGAGCACTTATTTACAATATGCCAAACACTGTTGCTGATTATATTTATTTTCAAACACATTCTTGTCACAGCACTTTGAGGTGCCATTGTCATTCACACTTCAGAGATGAAGATCTAAAGCTTGGTGTAATTGAGGATGTAGCTAGTTAGCTCTGTGTGTGTGTGTGTGTGTGTATGTGCAGGTTTTTTTTTCATTTAAAGTCAATAAATTTTTATTTGAAGAATTTCACATCAAGGTAACCTAGTTCCTCTAAAGAGCTGGAGTCAAAATGTATCTTCAAAAGATTCATCTTCAAGTTAGCCCTTCTTAATAGAACTGATGCTTAACCCACAGTTGTCAGCCCACAATTCTTTTATTTTGATTTTAAAAAATTTTTTTTTTGAGACGGAGTCTCGCACTGTTGCCTGGGCTGATGGGCAGTGGCGTGATCTCGATTCTCCTGCCTCAGCCTCCTTAGTAGCTGGGACCACAGGCGCATGCCACCATGCCCAGCTAATTTTTGTATTTTTATTAGAGACGGGGTTTCACTATGTTGGCCAGGCTGGTCTTGAACTCCTGACCTCGTGATCTGCCTGCCTTTTAGCCTCCCACAGTGCTGGGATTACAGGTATGAACCACGGCGCCTGGCTTTATTTTCCTTTCTTTAATCTCCATTTGAATATGGATATACTGATGAAAACTTCAACATTCTTCACCAAGAATCTTTGGGATTTAATTTCTTCAACCACTTTACTTTGGGGTCATTTTCAGATTAGGTGTATCTGCCTGGTTCTCAGTTTGACACCGTTTGTCTCTAAACATGAATGAGTTCCAATCATATTTATTCCTAAGCTATCACACTCAAGTATACGACAGATCTGTGGAATATGCCAAAAGTTAAGGTAAAAAATTAAATTATTAGGTATTTCATACTTTTTGCTAGTTTTTGATCTGTGAGTGAATATAACTATCCTCTATATCCTGGCACTGTTCCTCAGAAACATAGGGGCCACATACGCAATTTTAAATTTTTTAGTAGCCACATTTTAAAAAGTTAAAAAAAGTGAAATCTATTTTAATGATTTTAATCCAGTGTAATCAAAAATTGTTTCAACAAGGTATCTAATATTAAAACATTGAGTTTTTACTTTGTTATTTTACTAGGTCTTTGAAATCTGGTGTGTATTTTACACTTAAAGCACATCTCAGTTTGGAGTAGCCACATTTCAATGCTTAATAGCCACGTATGATTAGTGGCTACCATCTTGGACAGGACAGCTTTTATACTCTGGGAAGACACAAGCAAATACTTGCTCTGCATCAGAATCCAGATGTTTTTAAAAAAAAAAAAAAATTTTTCTGACCTGTTCCTGAAACCCTGGGAGTGTCTCTAATGCTTTATATTTTATTGGTTTGTCGTATTGTAACCACCTAACGGGCTCTCCTTGTCTACTGCCTAGGCAGAGCTGATTTATCAAGACAGGGGAATTGCAACAAGGAGCCAGCTGTACAGGAGACTAGAGTTTTATTATTGCTCAAAACAGTCTCCTTGAGAATTTGCGGAGCAAAGTTTTTAAGAATAATTTGATTGTAGGGGACCAGTGAGTCCGGAGTGCTGATTGGTTGGGTCAGAGATGAAATTATAGGAAGTCTAAGCTGTCCTCTTGTTGTAAATTAGTTCCTTGGGGTGGTGGGGTGGGGGTCACAAGACCAGATAATCCAGTTTATCTATCTGGGTGGTGCCAGCTGATCCATTGTGTTCAGGTTCTGCAAAATAGCTCAAGCATTGATCATCGGTTTTAAAATAGTGATTTTATCCCCAGGAGCAATTTGAGGAGGTTTAGAATCTTGTAGCTTCCAGCTACATGACTCCTAAACCATAATTTTAATCTTGTGGCTAATTTGTTAGTCCTGCAAAAGCAGTCTGGTCCCCAGGCAGGAAAGGGGTTTGTTTCTGAAAGGGCTGTTATTGTTTTTGTTTCAAAGCAGAACTATAAACTAAGTTCCTCCCAAAGTTAGTTAATCCCAAGCTCAGGAATGAAAAGGACAGCTTGGAGGTTAGAAGCAAGATGGAGTCGGTTAGGTCAGATCTCTTTCACTGTAATAATTTTCAGTTATGATTTTTGCAAAGGCGGTTTCACTGTCCACTTCACCTCACATCAGGCCTCTGACTAGAGGATTCCAACAATACTTAGGCCAGGCCACCACCATGTCTCCTCATCCACCCTGAGGCAGTACAATTTCTGAAACAAAGGAAACTATATATGATAATATGAAACTATATATGAGAAGGAAATTATATATGATAATCAATTTCAGGGTTATCTTATTGATTAGAAGATATTAAAGTGTGACACTGCCTGGCAATGATTATCTGCTAGTAGTAAGAATTTGGCCAATTTACTGAAATTCCTGAGGCTGAACCTCCACTTCTGTAAAATGGAGGCAGTGAGATAATTTGCATTACAATGCCGAAGTAAGAATTTTACACAATAATTCAGACCAACCACTTCATGTAGTACTTGATCCATGGAAAACTATCAATGACAGTTTATAGTTTATAGTATTAATGAATCCTTTATTTATTGTTATTTCCTTCTACACATTGTCCTCTCTAAAAGAAGGTAATATTCAATACAAATAAAGTTATAACAGCTTACAAAGTTGTCCCAGGGAATTCACTTAACCACTGAAGTGTTCAAATTGCTTAAGGTTGACTTTATATTCTCCTGACTAAGCTTTCTCCTTCTGGTATTTCTTCTGAGAACAGCACCAGCATCCAAAGCATCATGCAAACAGTGGTCATCCCAGAAGAGTAATTCTCAACTCATAGGGTGCTCCTGCAGAGATGTATTTGAATAGAGTGGTAGGGTGCTAAAGAAGGCCACGTATAATTTGGCCAGTGATCTGAGGCAGATTTATCCTGAAGCTAATGAAACACAAGTGTAAGGGCCTGTACTTCCAAGGTGCTGAGAGGGGCCCTACAAATGTGTTAGTTTGTCTCTCTCTTTTTAAAATTTGCAGTATTAAGGTATTTTAATCACAGAAGGTTAAGACTGTTATTTCCACTCAATCTTCCTTTTTATTAAAATTCATCATTGTCTGATTATGTTGGAATCCTGATGAAAATATTTGGAATTTCAGTAAGAGAAAGTTTAGTTGAAGATGTATCTAGTATGGGGGTAATAAGTTACGTGATTTGCGTATGTGTTCATGTGTAGTTCATTTGTTGCCAGCCAATCTGATGTAAGAATGGCTCACTGGAATAACTCACCTAAATTCCTGGCAAGATACAGGTCTAGATAAAATGTTATGACATCTAAGTATTCAAAACACCTTCCCAGCACTGAGTGAGTGTCTAGTGGAGAGTAGAAATGTATAGAGCCACAAGCTAGTCTGGAAAGAATTCTTACAAAGTTTACAACTTACATGTGAAAGGAACTTGACAGAGGATTTTCCAAATTTGAAAACAATCCTAAAAACTTACTTGACATTACCAACAATGTGTTTTGAAACTGAAACTCTTCTAAGTTATCAAGAAAACATATTACCAATAGCCACCCTGGAAGAAAGATTGGATTCTATTTCCATTACCTATAGACAATATTACAAAATAATTTCGATCTGAAGATGGAGAGTATTCAGTCAAAACTATACGAAAATATACATCGTTGTGTCATATTCAGAAATTAATACAATTTGCTATTTTCTGAATTTTGTGATGGCTATTGTTTTGTCAGCTTTTATAAAATTGGAATTTGATTTTATTTTCCCATTATAAATTAATATTTACAGTTTGCAGTAATTTGCATTTTTAATTTTACATTAAATATTTATTAAAAGAGGACATGGGTAAAAGAGCTTTGCAGTTGCTACCCTTCATTCTCAAATCTCCTGGATTTTAAGGATGACTGCATAATCTTTAGATGATCATACGCAAGTCATATGTATTTGTTGCATAAATTTAGTGGACTTCTGGCTGTGTGTACTGAGGCCAGTTTTTTCCACCTGAGCTCTGACTCCAGTTCCAATAGCCCAATACCAATACTGATTTTTGGGGTATTAATGTTTTTGTGAACTTTGGGTAACTATACGCACATTGTCCTTACGATAGCTTTAATAAAAATGCCATCAGACCTAAAATTGGCAGGAGGATTAAAAGAAGTTTCACCAGAAGCCTGTTTCGAAATGTTAAGTATACACATATACATGTTAAAAACACAAGATCCCTAGGATTTTTTTAACAAGGGCAAAAGTCACTCAACTGGCTTTCTCGCAGTAAAACCGCCCCAAAAGAAAAGGCCTGATGTACTCGTCTGCAGTTATTCAAAGCGTGTGTACTTATCTTTAAAAATCCTTTAAATCTCCTGGGAACTACCGAATTGGTTACAACTGTTTTTAAGTGAAATTGTAAGTGGCTCTGAAAAGAGCCTTTTCAATTAGGAAGGAATAAGCAGACTTATGCCCTTTCCCCACGGATGCGACGTGCCAGTTGTATGTCTTTGGGCATGATGGTGACGCGTTTGGCGTGAATAGCGCACAGATTAGTGTCTTCGAAGAGCCCCACCAGGTAGGCCTCGCAAGCCTCCTGCAGCGCCATCACCGCAGAGCTCTGGAAGCGCAGATCGGTTTTGAAGTCCTGCGCGATTTCTCGCACCAGGCGCTGGAATGGCAGCTTCCGGATCAGCAGTTCGGTGGACTTCTGGTAGCGGCGAATTTCGCGCAAAGCCACGGTACCGGGCCGGTAGCGGTGAGGCTTCTTCACCCCACCTGTGGCCGGAGCGCTCTTACGCGCCGCTTTAGTAGCAAGCTGCTTCCGCGGCGCTTTGCCGCCGGTGGACTTGCGAGCTGTTTGCTTTGTACGAGCCATCTGCAATGACCCCCACACACAAAAGCGTACTGAACTGAGAGCAAGCGGCCTTTAAATATAGTTAGAAACATTCTGATTGGTTCCGTAATATTTCAAAAGTCCCGCGCGATAAAATCATTGGCTGAAGAGTGACCAGACTGATTGGTTCATTACTAGGCAATCTTATTGGATGAATCGCCCCACCGCCCATCATGTCCTTTTTGTTTGTTATCTGCAGGGATAAATTGTCTAAAATTCTAGTTCATTCAGTCCCAAAGAACAGGGTACATAACAAAGCATCTAAGGATTTTTTTAATGTAAATTCCGATTCAGTAAGTTTGCGTGGGACTTGAAATTCTGCATTCCTGACAGTCTTGAAAGTTATCAATGCTGGTGAACACTCACTAAACCACCAGAAACGTTGACCGCCTCATGCCGGAAACTACTTACATTCAGAGAATGAGAATTCCATGCTATTTTGTTACTGGTCAACAGCCAGTTTCCTTATCCTTCGTTTTCTAAGTCCAAGTCACATTCCCACCCTGCCTGTTCTCAAACTGTCTTATTTTGGTTGGCTTTAGTTTCACTTTGTATACTCTAAAATGTAGTTTCTTAAGGAAGGTATTTCCTCGAAACTTAATTTTTAAACACCATTAGGCTAGGGGGGCCGTGGCTCACGCCTGTAATCCCAGCATTTTGGGAGGGCAAGATGGGAGGATCACTTGAGGCCAGGAGTTCAAGACAACCCTAGCTAAAATGGTGAAAACCCCGTCTCGAATAAAAATACAAAAATTGGCTAGGCGTGGTAGCAGACGCCTGTAATCCCAGGTACAAAGGAGGCTGAGGCATGAGAACCTGGTGAAGCCGCGGGGTGGAGGTTGCAGTGAGCCGATATCGCGCGGCAGCATTCCAGCCTGGGTGACAGAGCGAAACTCTGTCTCAAACCAATCCAAATCAAAACCAAAAGGTACCCGAAACACAAGCAAGTTACCATCCTTTCTTGTGAAACAATGGACGGTTCTGAAAAATGCCGTAGCAAGTTTAAGGTGCGTTTTCTGGTTTGAGTGGACTTTACTTGCTTTTGGCCTTATCATGGTTCTCGGTTATTTTTGCAACAGGACGGCCTGAATATTGGCCAGGACGCCTCCCTGAGTAATAGTGACTTTGCCCAGCAGCTTGTTGAGCTGCTCGTCGTTGCGGAAGGCCAGCTGCAGGTGGCGGGGGATGCTGTGGGTCTTGTCACGTATGGCGCTGCGTGTCAGCTCCAGGATATCGGCGGCCAGGTACTCTAAGTACAGCGGCGCGCCGGCTTCGACAGGCTCAGAATAATTGCCCTTTCGAAAAAGACGATGGACCCTGCGCTACTAGAAACTGCAAGGCTGGTACCGATGAACAGCTTTGTGCTTTACCTCCGTTTTCCACGTCCAAACACAGCGACCTCTGAAAACTGTAAAAGACAAGCAAGATGGAATGGCGCCTGAAGAAATACTTTTGTACAAACTGCAAGGCTGCAATAGAGAGTTATCCTATTGGTCAATTATGTTTCCTGCTTTATCCAATAGAAAAAGAGTCCATAAATTCCATATTTGCATAAACCCCACCCCTCAGTGAAGCTGTATTTCTTTTATCCAATCAGAAGTGAGGAATCTTAAACCGTCATTTGAATCTCAGGACTATAAATACGTGGACTCTGAACTGTTCTCCCTACTACTCTGGTGGAGAGTGTTAGTAGCTTTTTTGTTTTGTTTTAGGAATAGCGATGCCTGAACCCTCTAAGTCTGCTCCTGCCCCTAAAAAGGGCTCTAAGAAGGCCATCACTAAGGCGCAGAAGAAGGATGGTAAGAAGCGTAAGCGCAGCCGAAAGGAGAGCTATTCCATCTATGTGTACAAGGTGCTGAAGCAGGTCCACCCCGACACCGGCATCTCCTCCAAGGCCATGGGGATCATGAATTCCTTCGTCAATGACATCTTCGAGCGCATCGCGGGCGAAGCTTCCCGCCTGGCGCACTACAACAAGCGCTCGACCATCACCTCCAGGGAGATCCAGACGGCTGTGCGCCTGCTGCTGCCCGGGGAACTGGCTAAGCATGCTGTGTCCGAGGGCACCAAGGCTGTTACCAAGTACACTAGCTCCAAGTAAGTGCTTATGTAAGCACCTCCAAACCCAAAGGCTCTTTTCAGAGCCACCTACTTTGTCGCAAAGAGAGCTATAACCACATTTCTTAAGGTGGTGCTGCCTCTGTTCTGCTTCAGTTCTAGAGGATCAACTAGAATGTTAGCGAAGGCAAGTTTTAGAGCCAAGGTTAACTTGGGGCAGCCCGCCCTGGCTGTCGCCTTTAATCCCAGCATTTTGGGAGGCCGAGGCGGGCGGATCACTTGACGTCAGAAGTTCGAGACTAGCCCGGCCAACATGGTCTCTATTAAAAATACAAACGTTAGGGGGGGTGATGGCGCTCTTTCTCATCTGCCTTTAGCAAACTTCTTTGTTCCCCCTGGGTAAGCCTTCGGGTACTAGTTGTAATTCATTTGATACGGTCACTACTCCCTCCCTGGTCTAGCACAGGAAACTTTCCTTTCTGGATAATGAAACAAGTAATGCAATTCAGGGTACAGTGTTTCTATGGGGGTCATTAGCCGTTAACAGCTTGAGATGAGGGGGAGGGGAGCAGAAAAGTCTAAGCGACAAAAGGGCGTGTAGGGATATTTGCTCCTGCAGTTTGCCTATGCTGTAAATTCTTACCTCCAGTAAGAAGGAAAGATTTCCTCCAGTATTGAGGAAACAGTAAGCGAAGTCTGATTTCCCGGGCGCCTTTGTAGGGAATATTTCCCGTTCCACAAAATGAAATCGCAGTAGTTTTGCGTTATAATTGTTTATCAATGACAACAGCTATGTAGTTTACATATTTCATGCATCCCAGAAATCCAGATTCCCATTTCTTAGGCCACTTAACCTTCGGATTTCCAGCTCTGCGAGATACAAAAGGGTTTGAATTTTGTGCCTTTCCCCAACTGGCCCTACTGCAAAGATACTAGGAAGGCCCCACTTGGAGAGGGAAGCATTTTTCAAGAAATCCGGGACGCCAAAAACAATATAGCTAGAAAAAGGCAGGAAGGGCACTAGTTGAGGAGGACTTAATGGGCCAATTCTTGGTCTGGGGCTGGGGGAAGAAATGGAAGAAGAAAAGAACCTGTTGATTGCACACTAAGTAGGAGGGGATGGGGGAATCGGAGGGGAGTATTTTAAGTGAACTTACTGGCATTATATGTAGGTGACATTCAGCAGTGTCTTCGGATGAAGAAATAAAGTTTCTCAAACAGTTATTGTTTCTGTTTTGAGAAATGGTCTTGCTCTGTTGGCCAGGCGCCATCATAGCTCACTGCAGCCTCGACTTCTCCAGCTCAAGCTATCCTCTAACTTCAGCCCCTTGAGTAGCTGGGACTACAGAAATGCGCCACCACACCCAGTTAATTTTTTAATTTTTTGTGGAGGCAAAGGGTCTTACTATGTTGCCCAGGCTGGTCAAGTGAACTCCTGGGCTCAAGTGATCCTCCCGCCTTGGCCTCCCAAAGTGCTGAGATCATAGGAATGAGTCACCGCGCCCGGCCCAGATTTAATTTTTAAGAATCTTTTAAAAGAGGTTCTGGGCCGGGTGTGGTGCAGCTCACGCCTGTAATACCAGCACTTTGGGAGGCCAAGGTGGGAGGATCACTTGAGCCTAGGAGCTCAAGACCAGTCTGGGCAACTTAGTGAGTCTGTCTCCACCAAAAATTTAAAAATTAACCAGGCCTGGTGGCACATTTCTGTAGTCCCAACTACTGGGGAGGTTGAAGTGGGAGGATCATTTGAGCCTGGAAGGTGGAGGTTGCAGTAAGCTGTGATGACACCACTGCACTCCAGCCTGGGTGAGGACAGACCCTGTCTCAAAAATAAAAAAAAATCTGGATGCCACACAAAATGTCAGTGAACAACTGTAAGTGAAGCACTTCCCATCCTAGTACTGTATATGCAAACTACCGTTGTGAAAGAGATGCTTGTGTTTAAAAAAATCTATGATTTTTTTTTAAATTATAAAACGACCACCTCCCCCAAAACATTACTAAGCAATTGAGGCTGCAGTTTAAGAAACTGATATTTAGGATCTTTCCCCGGAGAAGTGAGACCTGCTAATATAAGCATTTGCAAAATGAACTTTTGGGCCAGGTGCAACATGCCTGTAATCCCAGCACTTTGGGAGACTTAGTCAGGCAGACCACTTGAGCTCACAATTCGAGACCAGCCTGGGCAACATGGCGAAATCCAGTCTCTACAAAAAATTAGCTGGGCGTTGTGGCATATGCCTGTAGTTCCAGTTACTAGAGAGGCTGAGGTGGGAGGATTACTTGAGCCCGGGAGGTAGAGGTTGCAGCAAGCCAAGATCGCGCCGTGACAACCTGAGCGACAGAATGAGACACACCCCCCCCCAAAAAAAACAGCCTGACTCATTAAAAAAAAAATTGAAAAATATTAAGTTTTGAAGCAGATATTATTTTGTCATATGTTCTTTCATAAATTTTTTGCCTGCCTGCTTTCTTCCTTTGTTACAGAACTCCAACACTTATCCAAAGGTAGCTGTAGGGTCAGGGTTTCTGTATTATAGTCCCTTCTGTGGTGGCCAGAAATACGTTACAGGAAAGAGGTCCCCATCCAGACCCCAAGAGAGGGTTCTTGGATCCCGCGCAAGAAAGACTTCAGGGTGAGTCCGCAGTGCAAAGTAAATGCAAGTTTACTAAGAAAGTAAAGTGGTGAAAAGACAGCTACTCCATAGACAGAGCAGGACATTCCGGAAAGTAAGAGGAGGAAGGCATCCACCCTGTAGGTACAATGCTTGTATATATGGGGAGATGTGCTCTGCTACACGGGGTTGTGATAAAGGATTGATTTTCTTAGTTACTATATTTTGCAAGAATAGACATTATTATCTTTAAACAAAATTAGGAATGCCTTTGTTCTCCAGATATAGGGATATCTGGACACTCCCAGGTCTGAGTCTGTTTAGTAAACATTATTTATTTGTTCCCTTAACCATAAACATCTAGAAGCTAGGAATGATTGACTTTCTGGGAATGCAGCCCAGCAAGTCTCAGCCTCATTTTCCTAGCCCACACTCAAAATGGAGTCACTTTGGTTCAAATGACTCTGACACTTTTCTTCTCCTTTTTCCTTCTTTCTTTCCTTCCTTTTTTTTTAAAATAAGAAATCAAGAATACTTGATGTTTTATCTAAAACAATACCCATAACTGACAAGCCAAAACAAAAACCTAGGTCTTCTAACTCAAAACTAGGATGTTTTGCTGTCTCTGTTGATAGTCTGCTGATCGTTAATAGGTAATTAACAAACAAGCCTTCCTATGTCCCCTCAGTTTATTACCATTAGATCATATGCCTACTGTCAATCGTATTAATCCACAACTATGCATTTCACTAAACTTACCATAAAAATACACAGGTTTCCTGCTTCCATCGAGTTTTCATTTCTGAAGGGTCGCATGTAACATAAAAGTTATATTAAATACATTTGTATGCTTTTCTCTTGCTAATCTTTTTTTTTTTTTTTGAGACTGAGTCTTTCTCTGTCAACCAGGCTGGAGTGCAATGGTGAGATCTCAGCTCAACGCAACTTCCGCCTCCAGAGTTCAAGCAATTATCCTGCCTCAGCCTCCCCAGTAACTGGGGCTACAGGCATGCACCACCACGCCCGGCTAATTTTGTATTTTTGTTAAAGACAAGGTTTCTCCATGTTGGTCAGACTGATCTCGAACTCCTGACCTCAGGTGATCTGCCCGCCTCGGCCTCCCAAAGTGCTGGGATTACAGGCATGAGCCACTGCACCTGGCCACATTTCTAAGTTCTTTGCAAGTATAAATTCATTCAATCTTCACCAAAACTCAAGAAGTGTGAGTACTATTATTACCATTGTTTTACAGATTACGACAAGTAATGCAGCCACTTACTGAGTTCTATACACTTGGTAATTTTTTTGTTTTGTTGTTCTATCAATTATTGGGGGAGGGGTGTTGAAATCTCTACCTTTAAATCATGTATGTGTCTGTTTCTCCTTTTGGTTCTATCAGTTTTTGCTACACATATTTTGCAGTTCTGTTATTTGGTGCATATACATTTAGAATTGCTTGTTTTTCGTATTGGATTGATCCTGTTATCATTATGTAATATCCCTGTCTGTTCCTAGTAATTTTCTTTGCTCTGAAATATACTTATCTGATATATCATTCAAAAGACCAACAGGATGGCTAAATAGTAGAAAGAGAGATTTACTGGCAATACTAATTTGCAAGCCAGGAAAAGATGGTCCCAGAACCTGCCAAAATTACTCTGTCTTTGAGGAGAAGGAGCAGGTTGGTTATTTTTATGCCTCATGGGATATATATCACACAATAGAGTCATACATATTCAGCAGGTTTGGGGGGACAGCTATATATATTATGAGAGATGCCAAGTGCATTCACAATGGATAAACACATGTGTAACATACCTCCTATGTTCACTTTGAGGTGGAATTTTAGGTTAAAATGAGGTAGAATTTAGCTCTTTACATCAAAAGGTGAACTATAGGAACAAAGACAGTTTATGTGCTGCCTCCATAAGCTGGCTGAAAATGGCTTAAGGTCTACAGTTAGGTGTAAGACTAGAATGTGTGTCAAGCCGGTCCTCTGTCCAATCAGAGTTGTAGTGGCCTGGACTGTAAATCAGAGTTAGGAGGGCTTCTGATAGCTCCTATAGTTAAAGAATTTAGAAAGTGTGAGTTTTTTGTAATCTTTGGAATTTAGGAATTTGCCATACCAGCCAAGCTGTGAACGCTCAACCAGTAGGTAACTTTGTTTCCTTAATCTTAGAGTCTGTCTTAGTTGGTATAGGGGCATCTATTTCGGTCTTTCAGATCACAGATATTAATACAGATACTCTTGCAGTTTGGGGCTGATGTTTATATGGCTTATCTTTTTTGCAGTCTTTAATTTCAACCTGCATTATGTTTATATTTGAAGTGAGAGTCTTGCAGACAGTGTAGAGTTGGGGCATTCATTGTTATCCACTGGGCCAAACAGTTTGTTTGGGTTTTTTTTGAGACGGAATTTCACTCTTGTTGTCTAAGCTGGAGTGCAGTGGCACAGTCTCAGCTCACTGCAACCTCTGCCTCCTGAGTTCAGGGAATTTTCCTGCCTCAGCCTCCTGAGTAGCTGGGATTACAGGCGTGCGCCACCACGTCCGGCTAATTTTTGTACTTTTAGTAGAGACGGGGTTTCACTATGTTGGCCAGGCTTGTCTCAAACTCCTGACCTCGTGATTTGCCCACCTCGGCCTCCCAAAGTGCTAGGATTACAGGCGTGAGCCCCGGTGCCCAGCCAAACTGTTTTTTTATTGGCGTATTTACACCATACACATTTAATGCAATTATTGATATCTTAGGGCTTAAGTTCATGTGTGGGGGCCATAGTCTCTTGGTCCACTAAATGTTTGCCAGAAATCCCTGACAAGGCAGATTGATTAATAGGTAAAAAGGCATACCCAATTATTTAACGTGTCTACATGGGAGCATTCAGAATTAATTACCTAACTTCCCAATGAGTTACAGACACTTATATACCATTTTTAGATCACAGAAAGAATTGGGGCTTAGATTCTGGTAAAACAGGTTATGGGAGGCAAAAGAGGTTTGGCTTGCAAAGGTGGCCTTGTTACGTAGGTAAAGCCTCCCTCAGAAAGAATAGATGGTAAATGTTTCTTTTACGATTTTTAAGTGTCAGACTCTCAATCTCTCCTGGATCTGGAGAAAGGTACAGAAAGGGGAGGAGGCATGGCTGCATTAATGGAGATTCTCTACAGACGTAAAATTTTTCCCATTTAAAACAGTTTTGCACTCCCATTTTTGCCTGCTGGCCAAGCAGCAGCCATTTCAAAATATGTCAAAGAAATATATTTTGTGGTAAAATATTTTCATTTCCTTTAGACTGGTGGCTTTATAAGAAAAGGAAGAGACACCTGAGGTGACACACATACTCTTGCTCTCTCAACATGTTATGATGCAGTAAGAAGGCCCTCACCAGATACTAATGCCATAATGCCATGCCCTTAGCTTCCCAGGTTCTAGAACAGTAGGAAATAAATTTCTTTTCTTTAGAAGTTAGCCAGTCTGTGGTATTCTGTTATAGTATCACAAAATGGACTAAGTAACTATATTATGATCATCTTAACGTGACTGATCACTCCTACATCATACACATATACAGGCCACATTTGGAACATTGCTAGAGGTTCCACTGTCCAATAGAAATGTACTACAAATTATATATGTATTTTTAAATTTTTGAATATCTTCAATAGTATATTTTTTAAATTTTATAGTCACAATGTCATTATAACATGTTTTCAATATGCATAACTTATTGGTGAGATGTGTTACATTCTTTCTTCATACTAAGTGATATGGTTTGGATATTTGTCCCTTCTAAATCTCATGTTGAAATGTAATCTGGTTCTTTAAAAGAGTGTGACACCTCCCCCATCTCTCTTGCTCAACTCTCACCATATGATATGCCTACTCCCTCTTCACCTTCCACCATGATTGGACGTTTCCTGAGGCCTTGCCAGTAGCAGATACCTGCACCACACCTCCTGCACAGCCTGCAGAATCATGAGCCAAAAAAAATTACTTTTCTTTATAAATTAGTCAGTCTCAGGGATTCCCTTACAGTAATGCAAGAATGAATTAACACACTAAGTCTATTTCATATTTATAGCATAGCTCAGTCTGAAGTACCCTTTTTCAACTTCACAGTAGCTGCTTGTAGCTAGTGGGCACTGATTTGGAGAGTGATCAAGGGTGAATTATATTATGCAATTAATAGATTTTTTTTTTTTACTGTTTTTGCAAACCACGAGGCATCAGATTGTCTTGCTTTCTCTACTCCTGGTGTTGGAGTTGTTATTGGGAAACAACTTATTTTCCTCTTATATTTATATGGAATAAATAATCCCCAATATTTCCCTCCCCAATATCTGCCTTTTGTATGTTTTTTAAAGGCAAGTGCCTAAAATGTACTGTTTGAGGCACTTACTGAAAGGACTGCCATCAAGTTGCTTTGCTAATAGCACATGCCAGGCGCCTGTTGGTTTGCTTAATTCAAGGTAACTTGGATGAGAAGAGTTTTTCTCATCCATGAACCAGTGGCATATAGATTACTGATATTGTGACTGGATGTACTCCTGCTTTCTAGTCTGAGTTTCTGAAGCTACCCTTAATCTTGGTTTCAATTTTATCTAGCCCTGTACATATCCAGGGCTCTTTCCAAAATGGCCTACGATTTGTTCAGGAAATTACAGTAGCTGTACCTTCTTACCCTTGGTTCCGGACATTTTCTTGGCTTCGAACACATCCAGTATTGTATTGAAGTATTTATCCTTCCTACTTGGCTGGCTTCTTCACTTCCTTTCAGGTCTGAATTCAAATGACATTCTCCTGATGAAACTTTTCCTCCTTATTCCTATTCTTTTTTCTTAACCCCTTTCTTTATTTTTCTGCATAGCACTCATCACTTATCTCTACATTTTCACTATGTATTTACCTTATTGTGCACCTCCTCCTACAAGACAAGTAGCACCCTAAGGAAACAGGTTGTCTGCTTTTTCACTGCTATGTTCCCTGCACCTAGAACTCTCTCTGGCACTTAGCAGGTTTTCAGTAAATATATGCTGAACTAATGCTGGATATACACCTCCCTCATGAACTCTCTAACTCCTTCTAATTTACAGTGATCAGTCTTCTTTTCTATGTGCTTTTGTATGATATATTGCTCAAAGTCTTTATTTTCTATGCAGAATGTGCACTGCTATTTAATCTTCAGGTATGTAAGTCCTCCCTTCTCAGAGTATAATCTCTTTAGGGCAGTATCTGAGATAACTTTTTAACATCTTCATCATGAATCTTGCACCTTTTCTAAGAAAATGAGCCAGTGGTTACTGATGTTTACTGCTATTGTTGAGGGAGAAGATCATTATCACTTTGAAAAGGGAGGTTGAATATTGTGAAGGGAAAAATATCACCAGAGTCAGAAGACTTGGGAAAAGGCAAAAAAGAAACTAAAAATCAGCACTTTTAGTTTCCTCACAGTTTCTCTGCATCAAATCCATAGTTCTGTGACAGTATTAGCTTAGGAGCAGATTTTTTTTTTTTTTTTTTTTTTGAGAGGTAGTTTCGCTTTTGCTCAGGCTGGAGTGCATTGGCCCGATCTCTGCTCGCTGCAACCTCCGTCTCCAGGGTTCAAGCGATTCTCCTGCTTCAGCCTACGGAGTAGCTGGGATTACAGGTTCCCACCACCATGCCCAGCTAATGTTTTGTATTTTTAGTAAAGCCTGGGGTTTCACCATGTTGGCCAGGTTGGTTATGAACTCCTGACCTCAAGTGATCCGCCCGCCTCAGCCTCCCAAAGTGTTGGGATTACAGGCATGAGCCACCGTGCCCATCCAGGAGCAGATTTTCTTACACCTGTGTCTCTTTTTCCTTCTGCCATTCTGTTTCAGTATAAGTAGACCAAAGATACAAGTCGTAGATACCTCAGAAATTCCTGGAATAATTAATCCACCTTCATCTATACCCCACCTGCTCCTATCTCATGGAATATAAAAGGAAAAACACCAAGATGTCTCTAGGCAATCTCTCTTGATTTTAGGTTCCTCAACATGAGAGGGAGACAGTGGCTATAATAATACTGTTCGAGCCAAGGAAAAACTTCACCTTTGCGCTCCCAAGGTTTACTGAAAATTACTGGCAAAACACAGATTAATTGGAGAAAAGGCATATACATTTATTTCATCATAATTTTGCCGGAAATTTTAGAATGGAAAGATACAGGGGAAATTGCCCATTTTTATGCTTAGGTTCAACAATATAAACAGCTGTATAGGGTACATCGAATGCTAACAGACTGAGTAGGGAGGTCCCGCAAGGCTTGTGTGTCAAGATTCTTCTTGACTTCTCAGTGCAGCATTCTTTCCTTCTGGTTATGGGACAAGACCCTCTTTTAGAATGAGGGGGTCTTATGACCTACGGGCAAACAAGGTCGGTTAGAGTAATATTTTTAAGTTTTATGGCTGGCTCTGGGGAAAAGGAGTTCTGGTTTGTATAGCCTACCTTGAGGAGGAATTCTGGTTTCTATGGCTAGCCTTTGCAGAGAATGGGACTTAGAGACAGGAAGGCAGAAGAAGGTCAGAGAAACACTTTTATGATGATAATCCCATTTTGAGTATTTCTGTGTTATGGAATGTTTGTTCTCTCATTTCCTGAAAGATTCCAGAGACTCCTCATTCAGTGTTATGAAAAAGTTCAGGAAATGCAACTCAAAAGTATGCCACTTTGTTATGCTGATTTCTTTGAACTGAGGGCACTTAGGAGATTCAGGGAGGAGCTTTCTCTGAACTCCTGTTATCAAAAATTTCAAAAATTAAAAAAAAATTCAAAAAGAAATTTAGTTAAGATTCACTTCCCTGGGGAATCTCATCAACCAGAGAAGATTAACTGTATCACAGGAGAGGCGACTGGCGGTTAACACCATCTAAACAGACTTTGTCACAGCTGTCACCTATTCTTTGAAACACCCATTTATTTTTCTCCCGAATCGTATACTCTCCCCTAAGTTGCTTACATCCCCTTCTCTTTCCCTTATGAATCAGAGAGCTTATAAGCTTCTACAGCTGGGATTTGAGGTATTCCCTTTTCTTCCTTCCCCCCCACCCAACCTTTTTTTTTCTTTGAAACAGCCTCCTGGCTCTGTCGCCCACGCTGGAGTGTGGTGGCTCTAACTGAACTCACTGCAACCTCCGCCTCTCCGGTTCAAGCGATCCTCCCACCTCAGCTTCTCGGGTAACTGTAACTACAAGCGTGCACTAACTACCAAGCCCGTCTTTTTTTTCTTTTTTTTTTTTCCCCCTTCTTTTTTTGGTATTTTACTGGAGACAGGGTTTCTCCATGTTGTCCACGCTGGTCTCGAACGCCTGGCCCGCCCTCCTCGGCCTCCCAAAGTGCTGGGATTACGGGAATGAGCCACCGCGCCCGGTTTGAAGGACCTCTTAAATATCTATTTAGAAATTGGTCGGAGTCCACTCCTTTCCAAAACCATGAGTCACAATCCCGGTAAAGCACTAGCGGCTAAAAGTCAAAATAACCAGAACAAAACCTCCACTCATGCTTAAAAAAGATATTTTGACAAAATCCTAACTGGGTCAATTATTGTTAGCATTCAAGTCGAAGAAGGCTCCTCAAGCCATACTGGGGTTTGAATCAAACATAAACCTTACACCAGATGGAAGGATTACATGCAAATGAAGGATGCAGATTCTGATTTCCCATTGGGTATTTGAAATTAGCCAATGGGAGAATTCCCCACAGCCTACCTCCAGTTAGTATAAATGCTTCTCTGCCTTCTCTCCTAACATATTCTTGTTACATTTTCCTGTGGGCATTTTTTAATTTTAGCTGAACTAGCTATGTCTGGTCGCGGCAAACAAGGCGGCAAAGCCCGCGCCAAGGCTAAGACTCGTTCTTCTCGTGCAGGTCTGCAGTTCCCTGTGGGCCGGGTGCACCGCCTGCTCCGCAAAGGCAACTACTCCGAGCGCGTCGGGGCTGGCGCGCCGGTGTATCTGGCGGCGGTGCTTGAGTACCTGACAGCCGAGATCCTGGAGCTAGCGGGCAATGCGGCCCGCGACAACAAGAAGACCCGCATCATCCCGCGCCACCTGCAGTTAGCCATCCGCAACGACGAGGAGCTTAATAAGCTCTTGGGGCGTGTGACCATCGCCCAGGGCGGCGTTCTGCCTAATATTCAGGCGGTACTGCTGCCTAAGAAGACTGAGAGTCATCATAAGGCCAAGGGAAAGTGAAGTGTTAACGCTTCATACACTGTCAGCAGACGAAATCAGCCTAACAACAAAGGCTCTTTTCAGAGCCACCTTCGACTTCCGTTAAATGAGCTGTTATGCTTTGTATTATGCAGCCCACACAGATGTTTTGAGGTGTTTTTGATGGTTTTCGTGTGACACTTTTAGTAATTTGTCCTGCAGAAATCTAGATCTATGGAAACCTTTTCAGGAACTCTACATATGTAGGAGAAATGCCATGCAGCACAAAAAACACAGGGGTGATCCTCGCTAAGTTTCACACACAGCAGTTACATTTTGGAGGAAGGAAATTATACCCATGGGTGCACTCCTTAAGTATTTTTAATGGAAGTGTTAAGCAAAACACGCATACCCCACACGGTAAAACAGTTTGAAAATGTCACACCATTTGCTCTAGTAATTGATGGCATACACAATTGAGAGCGTACACATTACCACTGAACATTTCAGCATGTATTTCCAAGATAAGGAGCTTTTTTCCAGTGTGGGGGATGTTTTGCTTTGTTTTGAGGTGGAGTCCCTCTGTCGGCCAAGCTGGAGTGCAGTGGGGTGATAATAGCTCACTGTAACCTCGAACTCGGGCTCAAGCGATCCTCTTGACAGCCTTCCGAGTAGCTGGGATTACAGGCGGGAGCCGCCACACCCGGCTAAGAGCGTTTTGTTAATTGCCCACACTACTCATGCCACACCCAGAAAAATATCATTTTAAATAAAGAACACATGCAAATTTCCCTAATCGCCTCCAGTATTCTTTTTCTTTTTTATATTTTAACTAGAAACAATTGGAGGTTTCCGCGTTGCTTTGTGTGGTTGTAAATTTTAAGACTACGAAGCTTTTCCAGTACAAGACTTGCCACAGTGTAATAGCAGCTAAGGGGTTAAGAAAATGACGTCAGAGTAGCTACCGTAATGAGCAGGAGCCTCTCTTAATCTTCAACCAGGCACAGAGATGGACCAATCCAAGAAGGGCGAGGGGACTTTTGAATTTTCTTGCGGCCAATAGTTGGTGGTCTGACTCTATAAAAGAAGAGTAGCTCTCCCTTTACTTTCACAAACGTCTCTGGAGGCAAGCTTCATTGCTTATTGCCATGGCTCGTACCAAACAGACTGCTCGCAAGTCCACGGGCGGTAAGGCGCCACGCAAGCAGCTGGCTACCAAGGCTGCTCGCAAGAGCGCACCGGCCACCGGCGGCGTGAAAAAGCCTCACCGTTACCGCCCGGGCACTGTAGCTCTGCGAGAGATCCGTCGCTACCAGAAGTCGACCGAGCTGCTGATCCGGAAGCTGCCGTTCCAGCGCCTAGTGCGAGAAATCGCCCAGGACTTCAAGACCGACCTTCGCTTCCAGAGCTCAGCGGTGATGGCACTGCAAGAGGCTTGCGAGGCCTACTTGGTAGGGCTCTTTGAGGACACAAACCTTTGCGCCATTCATGCCAAGCGGGTGACTATTATGCCCAAGGATATACAGCTTGCTCGCCGCATTCGCGGAGAGAGAGCGTAAACCTAAAGTTACATTTTGAGCAGTCCTAAAACCCAAAGGCTCTTTTCAGAGCCACCCAATTATTCCAACGAAAGTAGCTGTGATAACTACGTTTTTGTTAATAAACTTGACAACACCAAACCAAGGATCCCCAGAAAGCATTAGACTATGCTCTTAAGTTCATTAACAGAAATGTGGTTTGACCCGTTTGGCAGTGTAGACTTTCTGAGCTTCTTAGGTGCTATTTGGGGAGGAGAAGCTGTGGCAGTGTAGACTATTTCTGAGCTGCTTAGGTGCTATTTGGGGAGGAGAAGCTGTATAAGTCCACCTGTCCATCATTCAGGCTTCTAGCTTGCTATTATTAGCATTTTTTAAAACAACTTTCTAAGGCTAAGAATATAAGGGAAAAACCAGGCAAGTGGTTAACTGGCGCTTAATAGGCTCTTTTGTGAAGCTTTCAAAAGATTGAAAAGTTATGTCTCGCGACTTCCAATGTCTTACTCAAAATGCTTAGAAGAATTTTATTTTTAATTCATTTGGCTGTCCACATTAACCTGAAAGTTATTCTGGTGCAAAATGTGAGGCAGGGATCTAACTGGCTCTCATTTTATCCATAGCTAGCTACCCACTTTTCATCTGTCAATCTGTCGACCAAGCATAATTTAATTCCTTATATATTAATTATTTTATATGTGTGGCTTTGCTTGTAAATAGTCTAGCTGGTTGCATTGCTTTGTCTCCTCTAGGACTATGCACCATGACATGCCACATTTTTTTCCCCACTACTTCTTGCCTGTAGTTATCTATTAAAATCTAGAATTTACAAATTTTAACCATTTTCTTTCTGTTGATCTTGCTTTTCGGTTTTCTGGAGGTTGGGGGTTGAATACTGGAAGAAAATTTATAGGGATGGGAATACTGAATGTAAACAAAAGTAATGTTTAAAATTTAATTTGAATATTTTATGATTGTATTTTTTTATCATATAACTTTTAGATCACATTTTACAAACTAACTTTATAACAACCACAGATTGTCGAACATTACAACTACTAATTCCAAAGACCTTGCCTCACATTCTTTTTTACAATATTTTTTACACCCAACATTCTTGGCCTACATCTAGAATGTAAATTGATGTACCATACTAAAATCACCTGACCAACTGTCAACAACAACAAACCACACACACAAAATATTAAGTTTGAATTGCATTGTTTACTTAAATTCACTTGTGTTCCAGCTTTTAATAAAGCAGTGTTTGGTTTACAAAGTAATATTTGCATTTTAAAAACTATGAAAATGAATATGCCTGTGTGTTTTATATTTTGTTTTTCTTGACTCTTATACAAGCGACTCTACCTGGCACAGACATTTGTTATCCATAGACAGAGTATGTTAGAGATGCCAATGGACTTGGTCTATGCCAAGGTGACTACCCCCAAGCTCTGGGCCCAGCTGAAGGTAAAGTATTTTGTTTTTTCCAGTTATAGGTGTGCTGGATCTGATGGACAGTGCTTGACTTTTTATATTTTCTTTATCTGTAGGAAAAAGTGTTGGAGGTACGGGGTCTGGCCAATAGCATAAAATAATAAAGTGATATTACTGTGTGAGGATCAGATGGACTGGGGGTGGTAGCTCAGTCCAGCTGTTCGCTCCCTCACTTACATTCTTTGTCCTCTCCTCAACAGAACAAGGATTCTGCTGTAACTCTTCATTTACAGTTGATACTTAAAGAATGGGCCGGGCACGGTAGCTCACGCCTGTAATCCCAGCACTTTGGGAGGTGAGGAGATCGAGACCATCTTGGCTAACACGATGAAACCCCGTCTCTACTAAAAATACAAAAAATTAGCCGGGCGTGGTGGTGGGCGCCTGTAGTACCAGCTACTCGGGAGGCTGCGGCAGGAGAATGGCGTGAACCCAGGAGGCGGAGCTTGTAGTGAGTCTAGATCAGGCACTCCAGCCTGGGCGACAGAGCCAGATTCCGGCTCAAAAAAAAAAAAAAAGAAATTCTCATTTGTGAAAGAAAATTTATTGAGCATTTTATATTCGTGAGTAGTGCAAACATTTTAATATCATTATATTAAGAATCGATTGTTTTTTATTAGAGGAGTAATTAAGGTGAGATTGGAGACAAAAAGGGGGTGTTGTTTGCAGAATATAACATCCAAAAATAGACCACTGTGGGATCAGGATTCTTTTGAGCTAAAGGCACTTCAAAAACAGCAATTCAAGAAGAGAATTCTTCTAACCCTTTCTTTCTGAAAAACAGGAGATAAAAATTCCAATGTGAAAAATGCTCTCCTTTTACCAGGAGAAAAGAGAGATTTTTCAGCAGAGTCATAGATGAAATAATTCTGCACAAACACAGCAGAGAGTCATAGCCGAGAGACTTCTATACACAAACAAACCTTGTTAAAATAATCCTATTTTCCTTTAATCTCCCCATATGGTTTACTTTCTCACAATTGCCTCTCTTTAACTTAATATGAAAGCATTTAGTTTTTGCCATTTCTTTGGGTCTTCACTTATGAGGGTTCTCCTGTCCCATAAAATTTACATTACATACATTTGTATGCTTTTGTTCTGCTAATCTGTTTTATGGCAAATTAAATATCAGGTCCAGTTGGAGACCCTAACAGAGTGGAGGTAAAATTTTGCCTCCCTATAACATATTGTGTGCATTAACTTGATTGTTCCCAGTTGTTCAGTTTGTCAGGCCTCGGAGCCCAAGCTAAACCATCATACACCCTGTGGCCTCCACGTATACATCCAGATGTCCTGAAGTAACTGAAGAATCACAAAGGAAGTGAAAATGGCCTGTTCCTGCCTTAACTGATGACATTACCTTGTGAAATTCCTTCTCCTGGCTCATCCTAACTCAAAAGCTCCCCCACTGAGCACCTTGTGACCCCCACCCCTGCCAGCCAGAAAACAACCCCCTTTGACTGTAATTTTCCACTACCTACCCAAATTTTGTAAAACGGCCGCACCCCTATCCCCCTTCACTGACTCTCTTTTCGGATTCAGCCTGCCTGCGCCCAGGTGAAATAAACAGCCTTGTTGGTCACACAAACCCTGTTCGGTGGTCTCTTCACAGCGACGCACCTGAAACAGTTAAACAGGGTTTTTCCTGCCCAGTCATCACAAAGTGATGTTATGCTGCAGGCTGAAGTTTATAGCTAATGCTGTTTGTTTCACGGGTCCGTGTGAAGAGATCACCAAATAGGCTTTGTGTGAGCAACATGGCTGTTTATTTCACCTGGGTGTAGGCGGGCTGAGTCCGAAAAAGGAGTCAGCAAAGGTGGTGGGATTATCATGAGTTCTTATAGGTTTTGGGATTGGTGGTGGAGGTAAGAGCAATGTTTTGGGGGCAGGGGATGGATCTCACAAAGTACATTCTCAAGGGTTGGGAAAATTGCAAAGAAACTTCTTAAGGAGACTATAAAGTACATAGGTCTGTTAGGGTGGGGCAGAAATAAATCACAATGGTGGAATGTCATCAGTTAAGCTATTTTCACTTCTGTGGATCTTCAGTTGCTTCAGGTCATCTGAATGTATACGTGCAGGTCGCTGGGGATATGGTGGCTTAGCCTGGGCTCAGAGGCCTGACACTGTTGAAGCCTAAAATCAGTTTTGGTTTGTTAGATTTGGGTGAAAAGGCTAAGATTCTCAGACAAAGAAGTCAAGTTCGGGGTGCATTTTTCAGACTTAAAAATTTAGCAGTAGCCCTTCCAGTTTTTCCAATAGAAGTGATTTACGAATGTTTTCAGAATTTAAAACAACAGTGAGAAGCGTGTATGGAGATTTGAACTACACTCCAGGCTTGGCTATAGGAAAGCACAAAGGCTGCTATGATTATGCACCTTGGAAAAGAGAACAAAGGAATATTTTCAGACAGTTTTAACATGTCACATACGAAAAGCAAAAAATCTGTCAACACCTTGTACGTTATTACAGGCTATGATTTTAAAAAAACAATCCTTACTAATACACACATAGTTGCTGCTAGCGATATGGTGTTGGGAGTAAAAACCCAAAAATGAGAGTTCAGGACAATATCCCAACTCTGGGCAGATTTTTAAAGTAGTTATATCTAAAATTAAACCATATTATGTAATATTTATTTCTTTTCCACAGTCTCTGTTCTCATGCCTCGTTCACATTAGCTAATTAAAAGTTCCCTGACTATCATCATAACCCGATTTACAGAGAAAGAACTGGAAATTGCAATGATAAACATAGCTAACAATACCCTCTTCTGAATGAGACAGTACAGTGTGAAGGACAGCAAAACTCCACCCCCATCCTCTTTAGGGCTCTGGCTGGACCAGCAAAATTAAATTAAAATATAAAACAGATTAACAGGAGAAGGTATATGCATTTATTTAATACAGGTTTTTCATGACACAGGTGCTCTCATAAGGAAATGAAGCCCAAAAAAGCAGTTAGTTACTTATATAATGAATTGGACAAATAGTAAAGTGTAAAAATGCGCTAAAGCAAAGGCTAGAATATGTAATTGGGTAGAAAAGCAACCAGCAAGTGCTAGTGCAAGTTTGTACAGAATTCTCTTGGCTTAGCCTCCCATCCTTGAGAAGAATGTTGCTTTTTTTAAAGTACAGTGAGAACATCGTTCATATGAGAATCTCAGCTATGCTTCTAAGAAACAGGTCAGATTTCAAAGAAACAGGAGGCCAGAGTGATCTTTTCACACCTGCTTTTTAAGTACCTTTAAATAGTCAATGTGTCTTCAAGCACTTGAAGACTTAAAAAGTCTACCACTCTGGCATATTAATGAAAGTTCTTAATATAAGCCTTATTAAAATTCTCAGTCGAGGGTATAGCTTCAAGATTTCAAATAGTAGTGTCGTAAACGGGATGGAAAACTAAAGGGATTTAAAAGTGAAACTATTGTTTTGTTCTCACAGTTCTTAGGTCACTGCCCCACGAGGGGCGGAGCAAAGGGTGAGGGCAGCAACGCCCCTTATCCTCGCTCCCGCTTTCAGTTCTCAATAAGGTCCGATGTTCGTGTATAAATGCTCGTAGCTTGCTTTGTTTTTGTTCTCTTCTCTCTGTTCGGACTTGGTTGACTATGTCTGGTCGCGGCAAAGGCGGCAAAGGTTTGGGTAAGGGAGGCGCCAAGCGCCACCGGAAAGTGCTGCGGGATAACATCCAAGGCATCACTAAGCCGGCTATTCGGCGCCTTGCTAGGCGTGGTGGGGTTAAACGGATCTCCGGTTTGATTTACGAGGAGACCCGAGGTGTTCTCAAGGTTTTTCTGGAGAACGTGATCCGGGACGCCGTGACCTATACGGAGCACGCCAAGCGCAAGACTGTCACTGCCATGGATGTGGTTTACGCGCTCAAGCGCCAAGGACGCACTCTATACGGTTTCGGCGGTTAGTATTTTAGTCAGTTTTCTGTCCAATGGCCCTTTTCAGGGCCGCCCACTCTCTCTCAGAAAGAGCTGTGATCGTATTGTTTCGGAAAATCTCAGCTTTACTCAATCACTTCGCCTAGTATGAACAACTTCTACAGGCTGGTTGGGAGAGACCAGGTTCTTAGGTCTGAGCGGCTGCTAAAGCAGAAGTCAGCTGAGCAAACGCGGTCTCTGGGATAAGCGAGCTATGAAGTTTAATGCTATGGTTTTGACACTAAAGGAACTTAACAGTGCAGCGCGAGTCCGATAATGAGTCGTTCAGCTTTTTAGTTTTAAAAACAAATTGCATTATTTGTACGGGAGTCTAAGATGCCAGCCGGCTGCAAGTGATTAAGTGGATTAAAATAGATGTCAGGTGTTTCCCAGGCGTATCTGACTTAAGCAACGTCAGCAAGATCTGTACATTTAGCCTCCCTGGTAACACCTGCCCTCAACCGCCCCCCCTGCCCGTAGCGCCAGAAGGCTTTACTTCCATTTTTAGTTGAGCTTGGCGTCGTGCTGAGTGATGTCACCTACCCTTTCCCCCGAGTAAGACTGGCAGTTAAAGCTGCTTTGCTATTTTCAGTCCTCAGGCTGGAGGCTGTCCTAGGCAGGCTGCCTACGCAGTTTGTAAATTCCCACTTAGTAGACTAAGGGAGTCTTTTATAAATAAGGACTCACATTTCCTCTGACTCCAAGGTCCGTGGCAGTAGCTATAAAATGGAAGCGGCTTCTGATACAGGATTCTTCGATGACTCTTGCATATTCACAGTACCTGTCAACCCAACGGTCTTCTATTCCTGCCTTAAATTGGAAATTCCAAAACTGATTTTTTTAATTGTGCAAGTTTCAAACTGTACGACCTAGGAAGTTTTCAAAGTTAGGTGACCAGATTTAGAAGTCAGCCAAATATTCAGCATCTTTGATTTAATAACAAATACATAGAGGGCTACTTCAGCAAAAAAAAAACCTTTGTTGTCTGGTTACTTTGCTAACAAGCCTCTCCCCACAGGAGGACATAGTGAATAGATAGTTGAGTAAGTGAGTTCGGGTGAGAGGTCTGAGCTGGAGATAAAAATGTGGGAGACATCAGCAGATAAATGCTGAGACAGGATGAGACGGCTAAAAACTGAAACATAATGTAGTACAGCATTGTTTGCAGTAGTAAATGAGTGGGAACTGTAAAGTTTTCATCAGAAGGGACTAGAGTGTGATCTGTATATCCATAAAATAGAGTATCTCTACATAGCCCTACTAAAGAATGAGAAAACTGTACTCCACTACACACTCTGGTGTATTCTGACTCAGTTCTTGGACTCCTTTTCTCGGCTAACTCAACTAGCCTCACCACTTACAAGCTCTGTGTTCTGTGAAATAGTTTATGTTCAACAGAACACCAAGGCCTAGCTGTAAGTGTCACGTTAACTTCTAGCAATGCCAAAGCCTGTGATAGTGGCAGCTTCCGGCTGTTTCTCAATCCCAGGTTGCCTAACCACCTCTCCAAATTCTATCAGTTTGCTTCCACCCACTTCAAGCTTCAGAACGAAACATAGAGCTTAAGAAAAATAGGCCCGGCACGGTGGCTCACGCCTGTAATTCCAGTACTTTGGAAAGCTGAGGCGGGTGGATCACCTGAAATCACAGGTTCGAGACCAACCTGGCCAACAATGTGAAACCCCGTCTCTACTTTAAAAAAAATTAGCTCGGCATGGTTGCGGGCGACGGTAATCCCAGCTATTCGGGAGGGCGAGACAGGAGAATAGCTTGAACCCTGGAGGCAGAGGTTGCAGTGAGCTGAGATCGTGCTATTACACTTAGGACTAGGAGACAAGAGTGAAACTGTGTCTCTAAATAAATGTTTGCAATTATAAACCATCTCCCTGACCTTAAATCTCTAGACTTATATACAACTGCATATTTCATGTATCTATTTGAATATCTAATGGGCATCTCAAAATTATCCAAAATAAATATGTGTATACATAAACACCAAGTCTGTTCTTCCTCTGATATTTGTCATGTCAATCAGTAGAACTCCATTCTTCAAGCAGCTTGCGCCAGGAATTGTGCAATCTTGTTTGTCCTGAGCTGCTTAAAACTTTCATCCAATGCAGTCAGCTCTGTCGAAAATAAATCAGAATACCTTTCATTGTTTCCTCTGCTGCTTCTCTAGGAGCAAGCTGCCATGGCGGTTTGTCTGAACGACCACAGTGAGCCCTAACTGGTCTTTGTTTTCACTTTTAATCCCCCATCATACAATTTTTTCTCTATCCAGCAGCAACAGTGATCCTTTTTAAAGGTATTATGTCCACTGTCTGCTGAAAACATTCCAGTGGCTTTCCATCACCTTCATAATAAAATCCAGCATCGTTATCATAGCGTACAAGTAAGATGACCAATCATTACAGTTTGCCTGACTCTCAGGGGTTTCTCAGGGTGTAGGACTTTCAGTGATGAAACTTAGAAAGTCCCAAGCAAACTAGGATGAGTTTCTCAACCTACTTAGGAGTCCCTACTAGATCTGTACTCTGGCTACCCTCTGACCTCATTCTCTTCCCAATTCTTTCTTTTCACTGACCTCCTAGCTGTTTCTGGAATGGACCAAGCATTTCCAGCATCAGCACCTTTATATTTATTTTTTCTCCCTAGAAGGGTCTTATCCTGGATATCTGAATAGCTCTAGATCTCATCTCATTCAAGCCTCTCCTCAAATACCAACCTTAAGAAAGAGACCTCCCATAATCATCCTTTGTAAAATAATGTGCTTTTCTGCTCATTTAGCATATGGTATATAACTATCCTCAATAGCATATATATATATAATTTCCCCACCTATAACTATATATGTAACAATATATTTAACAAACAGAACAGGGCTGACATTTAACAGGTAGTTTATAGAGGTTTGTTGAATGAATGAATGCTTGAATCTTCTATGTAAGTCTCCAGGCTCCCCACTAAGCCCACTAGAATGCTAACACAATTCCCCATCTCTCATTCCTTGACCTGCCACTGCCTGAAGCAATCAGTGTGCAGTTTCTCCTTAGAAAATCTGGGGGGTTAGTCTAGGGGCTGCAAATTAAGCAACATTATCTTCGTTCTGAACAAGGACTGCATGAGTGTTAGGATTGAAGAAGGCCCAAGGTGGTGGTGAGTATGCCTAAGATGAGTATGACCTATCAGCAATGCTATGAGCTAAAAAGGCCAGGCAAAACATAACAGGAGCTAGTCATGGCTATTGTTACAGCAGCTATAGCTCCCATATGGGTAATCTATATCCACACACCCCTCTACATTGACTCTGGAATTCAGGAAAAGGAATTAAAATTTGCTAACTTATGTACCCCAATGTCTACAACAATATCTGGCATACGAGATCAATAAATATCTTTAAAATACCAGCTAAGAAAGGCATAAAATGACCCACACTCCATACTAGGCTCATTTTTGCTCCTCTGATTTCAGGATGCAGCTATGAATTCTCTCCATTGTCAGTTTTAAATTAAACCAAGCTGGGTACTTGTTTTAAATTAAGCCAAGCTGGGTACTCAAGAAATGCTGGATGAAAACTGTCAGGTGGAAAACAGGACCTCAAAATACAGAGGAATCCATCACTGAAGCTAACGTAGTGAGGCCGAAATCAGTCCTCTATAACAATGAGCACAATGAGAGGCATTTGTGAATATTTACTCAGATGAGAGTAAGATATTTCCCTATTAGCTAATCTCAAGTTCACATCTGTTTTCCAGCTGAGTTCTGAAGCTACATGTACTACTGAACACATAACTGCATCAGGAACATCGTTTACAACTGTGGCTACAATGACTTAATTGGACAAACCCCAGGCTTCCAGGTTTAGCACAGGTGGCCCTTCACAGACCAGCATTGCCTATGCTACCAACCTCATGTCCTGCCACCCTGCCTGCATCATTTCTCTCTCTGCATATATAAAAATATGTATGTATATAAAGAAATCAACTTTATTGATATTTAATATACCATAAAATTTGCCCACTTTAGGTACAATTCAATGAATTTTACCATGTTTACTTAGTTGTACAACCATCATCACAATTTAATTTCAGAATATTTCTATCACCCAAATTCCAATTTCTACGTAAAGGGGGGGGGGGGGAAGGCTAACTGCTGAAGGCCCGGTAACACTGAAAAAGGTGACTTTTCTCTCTAAAACAGATTTTAATCGCCCCTGAATTTAGTGTCCTAGGTATTCCAGGAGTCTAAATGGGGTTTCAAATTTCAGGATCTTTTAAATCGAGGCAAATTGTATTGGTGGCAATAAATTGAGTATTGCTCTCAGTACATGATTGAGGGATACTTAAAAGTCTCTGTGATTTCATTTCCTAATCGCTAAAAAATAAAAATTAGTAAAAAAAAAAAAAAAAAAAATTTTACTAAAACAGGGTTTTGTCCTTTCTCAATAAGCTTTTTAGCTTCCCCTCCGACTCTCTGGCTTGCCTCAGGAAACATTAGCTTATCAGTTCTGATTGGTTGACAGCTACGAATGGCGCTCACTGATTGGGCAGCGCTTCTCTTTGTCCCTTGGAAACTAACACAAATTTTTAACTCAATGTTTTTCCCACTCACTCTTCAGAGTTGGAATATCTTTGCTCCCCTACCCATATCTAGTGAGTGAAGGGCAAACTTGCAGTTCCAGTAACCTTTCCTTTCTAGTATGTCAGCTCATTATCATTCACATTAACTATACATTGAGCTTCTTGGCTTGATGGATACAGCTCTTCTTTTGTTTAGTTGGGCGGCCCTGAAAAGGGCCTTTGGTTCAGAAACGCAAGCTGGGGAGAAAGCAGCAACCTTAGCCGCCAAAGCCATAAAGGGTGCGTCCTTGGCGCTTGAGCGCGTAGACCACGTCCATAGCAGTGACCGTCTTGCGCTTGGCGTGTTCCGTATAGGTGACAGCGTCACGGATCACGTTCTCCAAAAACACCTTGAGCACCCCGCGAGTCTCCTCGTAGATCAGACCAGAGATCCTCTTGACACCTCCACGCCGGGCCAGACGCCGGATGGCCGGCTTGGTGATGCCCTGGATGTTGTCGCGCAACACCTTGCGGTGGCGCTTGGCACCCCCCTTACCCAAACCCTTCCCGCCCTTACCACGTCCAGACATGACTTCGTAAGAAGTGAACCAAGAGCAAGTGAGAGAGAACAGGGGAACCGATCTTTATATATCTACGTTACCCCTCCCCCACCCCCAGCGGACACAGAATGAAAAGCGCGCAGGCGGGAAATGTGACGCCTACAGTCCCCTCCCTCAACCCCTCCTCCAAGCCCCAGGAAGTGGCGGGAGCAGCGGTTGGGGGAGGGTGGGGAGACGGGGGTGGGACCAAGCTGGCTTGACCAATGACTTTTATTTTCTTAACAGAACTACAGGCTTTGAGGAACTGGGTTAAGAATTAACCAGAGAGAGAGAATAGGGGAACCGATCTTTACGTTTAGGAGTAACCGAACGTTACCCCTTCCCCCACCCCCAGCGGACACAGAATGAAAAGCGCGCAGGCGGGAAATGTGACGCCTACAGTCCCCTCCCTTACTCCTCCTCCAAGCCCCAGGAAGTGGCGGGAGCGGCGGTTGGGGGAGGGTGGGGAGACGGGAGTGGGACCAAGCTGGCTTGACCAATGGCTTTTATTAACAGAGCTACAGGCTTTGAGGAACTGGGTTAAGAAATACAAACCCATTCAGACTCCAGAACTATTTTAAGTCGAATGTTTTTCTTTTGAGACTGAGTCTCGCTGTCGCCCAGGCTGGAGTACATTACCGCGATCTCGACTCCCTGAAACCTGTGCCTCCCAGGTTCAAGCGATTCTCCTGCCTCAGCCTCCCGAGTGTAGTTGGGATTACAGGCGCTCGCCATCACGCCCATCGTGTTATTGTATTTTTCGTAGACTGGGTTCGGCCGTATTGGCCAGGCTGATCCCAAACTCTTGACCTCTGGTGATCCGCCCGCCTCAGCCTCCCGAAGTGCTTGAATCACAGGCGCGTCACAGTGACCAGCCAAAGTCGAATGGTTTTGAAGCCTTCAGTGGCAAACATCAAAACGAGAAGTGCTCCCAATGCATTCCCTTTCGTCTTAGATTGGCTTCTTACAGCTACCTTACTTGAAAAGGTGGTGGCTCTGAAAAGAGCCTTTAATTGGACCGTCAGAACTGCCGCAGTAATCATGCCCGCTCTCCGCGGATGCGGCGAGCGAGCTGGATGTCCTTGGGCATTATAGTGACGCGCTTGGCGTGGATGGCGCACAGGTTAGTGTCCTCAAACAGCCCAACTAAGTAGGCCTCACACGCCTCCTGCAGAGCCATCACAGCAGAGCTCTGGAAGCGCAGGTCTGTTTTAAAGTCCTGCGCAATCTCGCGCACTAGGCGCTGGAAAGGTAGTTTACGAATCAGCAGTTCGGTAGACTTCTGATAACGGCGGATCTCGCGCAGAGCCACAGTACCGGGCCGGTAGCGGTGGGGCTTTTTCACACCGCCGGTGGCCGGAGCACTCTTGCGGGCTGCCTTAGTGGCCAATTGTTTGCGTGGCGCCTTGCCACCAGTAGACTTCCGAGCAGTTTGCTTAGTACGAGCCATGATAGGAAAACAGCACAACGTAACACCCAACACTAGCAAATACGTCCGCGAGCTTCTCTGCTATTTATAGTGAGTAAAGCGCAGTGATTGGATGATAGAAGACGCTAAATATGACGTTACAAGCTCTGATTGGTCTACCTTTAAGCCTCAACAATCGTGCAGTTTCACTGGCTACTATATTCTATTCCAACTCTACAGATTATTATTTTTAAAGTGGTATTATTATTACTATTATTATTATTTTATTTCACTTTTGCTTTGTTCCCCAAGCTGGCTTTAACTTGGGCTCAAAGGATCTTCCCGCCTCAGCGTCCGGGGTAGCTGGGATTACAGGGGAGCGCCACCGCGCCGGCTTGCACTTTAATTTTTTAATCTGTTGTCCTCTTATACATCTGGTTTTCATAACCTGAAGGCTGTGTTTATTTTCCATAAAACAAGGCATTGATTCCAAAGGTATTATAATTCTCCAATTCTGTATAGCCTTCAGCTCTTTAGGAGAAAAAAAAAGAGGGAATTCTCCTCTCCGGAAATGTACCCATTACGGGAATTTCTGAAACCTTTCACAAGAATTGCATTCCTTTGTAATGCTTTAATTGACTTAGCGCTATTGAAATCTACAAAGCATCTCAAACATAGTAGGATTACACTATTCCTCATAGAAACATTTTCTATGAGTCGTCTTTCTCTTGATTATGCTCTTTGAATCCTAAACTTGCAGTGTTCTGCAGCTTTTGTTTTCTAAGCCTAGGTGTACTCTGCCAGTCAATAAATGGCGTTTCTCCAGCACTGCCGCCAGGTACCACCAGCTGGGAATTGTTGCTCTTGCGGAGCAGGAGGTGGACTTGGCCCAAGAGAAACTGGATGGTAGTCCGCAAGGAACATAATTTAGCACTGCCAAGCGCTAATGTAATCATTTTAAAAGTCTCAAAACACTAAAAAGTGGATTGTGACCTTTTTAAATTCACAGGAGACAGGCCACTTTCTATCTTTTGATTGGTTTAGGCTATTTTCTTGAACAGCCATTTAGAAAGCAGATCTATCATTCTTTATTTGCATGGAGCGTTCACATTTTATTTGAAGCCAGTTTAACCCAATGGAAACAAGGGAGGCAGAAACCATTATTTAAAGTGGAAGCTCCTGAATCAGATAATTCGGAGTATTTCCTTTTTAAAAGTTGCGTTTTTTTTCAGATACCTTGCTTATTACATTAAGAAAGGTTTATATCTTTCATAAAGGGTTTACTTACAAAAACCTTCCAATTTTGTATACCTGTGTTTCATAACTGACTAGCCGTCAAACCAAGATGTATAGTTTCCAAATGTTATTTTCCAAATTTTAAGAAATTACGTGAAATATTTGAATGCGTGGCTTCTCAATAAAATAGACGAAGGAAACACTGGTAAAGAAGATGGGTACAATAGTTATCTGGGACTACTACATTATTTGGTTGACACATTGTTTGAAGAAAAAGGGAAAAAGGTCAGGTTACTTAGCACAGTTCGGACTTACTTAAAAACTACAACAGCACGAACGGAAATAGACCACATTCCCTCACTCTCCGCTGTGTTAGGGGGTTATCCAGAATAGGATTGTAGAAGTGGATGTCGATTTAATAGTTTTTTTGTTCTCCCGTTAGCTGAGTCTCTGATTGGCAATGTGAGATCGTTTTAGCTTATTGATAATTTGAAATGCTCTTAACAGTCACAAACAAGCTAAAGAGAGGTTACCATAAAATCTTATCCCCAGGGTGTGCTTACACTTACCGTTTGTTTTCACACTAAGGAGACTTAACTCCCCAGCAGAATGCCTGTCGGGGAACCAGTTTCTTGGACCCAGCATTTAACGCCTTTCGCAGGTTTGTGAGGCCCATAAATCTTTGTTGAATAAAACAATGAGTTGACCATGTCATGGTCCGCTCATTGCATATGCTGACATGGAACACAGGTTGTAAACCTTAACACCCATTTGGGGCATGTTGTATGGATGAAAAGGGCATTGGAAATTCCTGAAGTGCATCCCACATTGGACTGTGGAAGTAAGTTGCAAGTGCAGAAACGTTTCCACACTTGCAGTTTGAGTATTAATTGCAGCGTTAGTGAATTCTGGTGTTGTCTACGATTCATTCTTCTTTGACTTGAAAGGTATTCGCGAGACACGTCGCTCTAAAACATTGCCAGAAAATGTAATCGAGTTGATGACTACTAGCCCTAACACGGCCTAAAACCCGCACTTTCCTCTTCCTCCCCAACTATTCAAACACTGTATTTTACATTTCTTGCAAATTAAAAACTAACATCTCTGGCAACGGACCTCTAAAAATTTCTAATAAAACTCCTTGGATGCTTGTGGGGCTGCATTTGCAAACCGCTCCCCATCAACCTACTCCCTAAAAAAGAGCTGCTTTTTGAGAGACAAGCGGCACCCTCTGATGTTACTGGGCGGCAGTCGGCCTACAATTTCCTTCACAATGAGGCAATCGGAGCGGCTTTTTCGGTGTGTTTGCTTGCGTTGAGGGGAGCGGGACCATAGGCCCTAGAGGCCCCCAGGTGCTCTCTGAGACTGGGGGAAACCCTCTGCAGAGCGCAGGGGGCGCTAGGGTGCGAGGGGCGGGCACTGACGGGCACCAATCACTGCGCAGTCCCACCCTATAAATAGGCTGAGTCGGGGCTTTTTTTTCCGCATCCTGCTTGGTCAGGTTTATACCAGTTTACTTGGTGTGCTGTATTAGTCACCATGTCCGAAACGGCGCCTCCCGCTCCCGCTGCTTCTGCTGCTCCTGAGAAACCTTCAGCTAGCAGGAAGGCAAAGAAACCTGCTAAGGTTGCGGTGGCCACTAAGAAAAAGCCTGCTGGCCCTTCCGTATCAGAGCTGATCGTGCAGGCTGCTTCCTCCTCCAAGGAGCGTGGTGGTGTGTCGTTGGCTGCTTTTAAAAAGGCGCTGGCGGCCGCAGGCTACGATGTGGAGAAGAACAACAGCCGCATTAAGCTGGGTATTAAGAGCCTGGTAAGCAAGGGAACGTTGGTGCAGACGAAGGGCACCGGCGCCTCGGGTTCCTTCAAACTCAACAAGAAGGCATCCTCCGTGGAAACCAAGCCTGGACCTTCAAGGGTGGCTGCAAAAACCAAGGCAACGGGTGCGTCTAAAAAGCCCAAAAAGGCCACGGGGGTTAGCAAAAAGAACGTCAAGACTCCAAAAAATGCTAAAAAGTCGGCAACAAGGAAATCCTCTAAGAGTCCCAAAAAACCCAAAGCTGTAAAACCCAAGAAAGTAGCTAAAAGCCCTGCTAAAACTAAGGCTATAAAACCCAAGGCGGCCAAGGCTAAGGTGACGAAGCCAAAGACTGCCAAACCCAAGAAAGCGTCACCCAAGAAAAGGTAAATTCGGTTGGAAACTTCTACTAACCCAACGGCTCTTTTAAGAGCCACCTACACACTTCGGGAAAAGAGCTGTAGTACACAGATGAAATTCCCCAAGCAAATGCAATACGCCCTCATTTATATTAGAATCACTTGGAGAGTCAATAGGAACTTTAACATAGGTTGAGTAGTAAATTCTTGCCAGATGAGGCTATCAAAGATAGCAAGGTGAATTCAAATGCACCGAGTTAAAGTCGAATTTTAGATCACCTGTTTTTTGCTTTTTTTTTTTTTTTTAAAGTAGCCCGAATTCCCGCATCTCAGGACCCCAAGCTAATTAGTCATAACTGTAACGAACCAAGGTTGAAGCCTAGTCCCAGGCTTGAGGCTTTTTTATTATGCAAGGTTAAAGTGCGGACATTGCGTTCTTGGGTCAATATTGCTAAAGTAGCCTTTTCCGAAATTGGGTGGTCCAAAGAAATGCTTCTGGGATAGTAGGCAAAATTCATGGCTTAATCACGCCCTCTCCGCAGGAGTGGCTAGAGAGGTGTCTGTCCTTGGGAATGACGGTGACCCTTCTGGCTTGACTGGCGCCCACGTTGGCGTCCTCTGAAAGCCCACCAGGTAGGCCTAGCTCGCTCGCTTTCTGCAGCGCCATCATGACAAAGCTTTGAAACGCAAAATGCTCTTGCTTTGCGCAGCGCTTTACCATGGGTGCACTTACAGGCTGTCGACTTGGTTTAGGCCCTCATCAGGACAAAGGAGCTTAGTTGCAATGGAGTTTTAGAGCTGCAACTCTAAAGCCCTTGCTCGGTTTCTGTTTTTAGAAACAGTAGCGACCTGATTGGATAATATTTGAAAATTACCATGCTTAACTGGATCGTGTTTCATCTATCGTGCAGGATTTTCAACCCTGGTGGAGCCCACACATTCAATACTGAAGATCCTTTTCTCAGAACTGCCCCTTTAAGCTTTTGCAATTTTAATTCTGGGGTTCAATTTTAATAACTGAACTTTTTTGTTTACATCTGACAAAAAGAGTATATGATGAGCCAAGTTTACTCACTTAGTGCAGCTCAATTCTAAAAGTTTATTTTTGCGTGTGTGCATATGAGTTAATAATTAGTTGTATTTTTCAAACGGTCGGTCTTTTTTCAGTTGTTTTGCTTAGCTCCTTCCATCGTCTAAAGTCAGGGATACAGGCACATCACATCCCTGTTCCCCCTTCCTCAAACTAATATGTAGCTACCTGTTTTTCTTTAAAAAAAAAAAACAAAAACAAAAACAAAACCTATTTCTGTGAGAAATATACATGTTTTTCTTTGAACTAAGTATTTTACATACACCTATCTATATACATGCATAGTTTTTTGTTTGTTTTTTTTTTTAAAAAAATAAACGTTATCTTTTGAGACTGGGTCTCAGTCTGTTGCCCAGGCTGGACTGCAGTGGCATAATCACAGCCCACTGTAACCTCCAACTCCTGGATTCAAGCTATCCTGCAGCCTCAGCATCCAGAGTAACTGGGATTGCATGGACACACCACCACGCTGGGCTAATTTTTTATTTTTATTTTTTGTAGAGATAATCTCACCATATTGTCCAGGCTGGTCTAGAAATGGCCTCAAGCGATCGTCGGCCTCCCAAAGTGTTGGGACTACAGTCACTGTGCCTGGCTCTGTATGCATAATTGTTTTGTCTTTTGATTAGGGTTATTAATTTAAAAAACAAAAAAAAGGTTGGGCGCAGTGGCTCACGCCTGTAATCCCAGCACTTTGGGAAGCTGAGTAGGCAGATTGCTTGAGCTCAGGAGTTCAAGACCAGCCTGGGCAACATGGTGAAATCCCGTCTTGACAAAAAATACAAAAAATTAGCCAGGCCCGGTGGCACGCACCTGTAGTCCCAGCTACTTGGGAGGCTGGGGTGGGAGGATGACTGGAACCTGGGAGGTACAGGCTGCAGTGAGCAGAGATCGTGCTGCCACTGCACTCAAGCCTGGGTGACAGAATGAGACCCAGTCTCAAAAATAATAAAAATTTTGTACAATGATGTTATATACACTTCTGCATGTTGCTTTTCTCTTAACCAAACATGTCTAAAACCCTGTCATGAAAAAAGAAATCCTTCACATGGAGTAGCATAAGTTATTCATCCATTTCTTATTGATAAGCATTGATGTTTCCAGTTACCACTGCTGAACATGGTGCAATTGAATAGAATTCCAGGGCTGAGATTGTTAGGTTGTATTTTATTATTTTATTTATTTATTTATTTATACAGAGTCTCGCTCTGTCGCCCATGATGGAGTACAGTGGCATGACCTCAGCTGCAACCTTCGCTTCCTGAGTTCAAGCGATTCTCATGCCTCCGGTCTCCCGAGAAGCTGGGATTACAGGTGCCTGCCACCATGCCCGGCTAATTTTTTATTTTTAGTAGAGATGGGGTTTCACCATGTTGTCCAGACTGGTCTCAAACTCCTGACCTCAAGTGATCTGGCCACCTCGGCCTCCCAAAGTGCTGGGATTACAGGTGTGAGCCATGGCGCCAGACCTGAACTTTGTCTTCTGTTTCATCAGTCCTTCTGTCGGTTCAAGCACCAATATCACACTGAAGACTGATGATTCTATATAAATATGGTAAAGACTGTACACCCTTACTGTTCTTATTTTTTAATTTTAAGGCAATTTTAGATTCCAGCTTTCCAAAGAATTGTGGAATGCTTAGAGCTACAGAAGCCTCGGAAGTCATTTAGTTTTTGTTTTATCAGAGAAAATTCTGTAGAGACCACCTCTGTCCTACTCTGAGTACCATCCATAGTACCCCCCATCAGCTTTAAAGGGCAATAATACCTTATGGACATGATGCTTTTCCTCAAATATATTCTAAGCCATGGTCAATGCAAAAGAGTGAGAAGGAAAGTGGAATAAGTTGTTATCTAAGAATCACTGGGTGCTATCTTTAAACTGATTTATCACTCCCTCTTCCAAACTCTCCTGAAGGTCACTCTGCTTCCCTTACTACATAAGAACTCCTAACTTCAAGGGAGGAGGATAAGTTATTCTTATTCCATGCTTAGAAAAAGAGAAAATGGGTTTGGTAAGCGTCCACTTTCTGCTACTATTCTCTATGTTTCTGTGTTTTTTATAGGATCATTCACTTATTGGTTGGCTCTTGAGAGGGAATGCAAGGTTCAAGGAGACAAGCCTAGATCCTGCCTGTATAGAACCTCATGATGGTATGCTTCTCTAAAATGAGGCCTGAAGGAGACATGTTGAAAGTGACCCATAAATCTGCAGTATCTCATGTCTCTCAATGGGGAGAAGGAGTACCATGGGAAATAGCATTAGGTCAATGACAGTAACAACTCCCAGGTGAGTTGATTTATTCTTTTATTTATAAAGTTGTTAATATGCCACATAGTCCCTAATTTTGCCACAGTCATTATTTTAATTTCATATTTCAATATTGATAAATGAAGGAAAAGTGAGGAGCAGTTAAGCAGTCCATAAACCTACATATAGCAAATTGGAGATTTTAAAATTGATTCCGGGTGCTTAAAATCCTTCTCATGGAAAAAAATTTTTCTTATTAGAAGATTTCAACATTCTTTAAACTGAGAAGCATAACATATAAACAGAAAATCATAGCAAAACAAAAATGCAAAGCTCAATAAATGAACACAAAGTGAACACCATAATAATTGCCACACAAGTAAAAAGAAACAGAAAATCAGCCAATCCTCCCAGAGCCGCTGATGCTTGCTTCCAGTCACATATCACTCCATCTGCCCTAAACATAACCCCTATTTTGATTTCTAATGCTGTAATTTAGTATGCCTGTTTTTGAAACATATAAAATGGAAATAAAACATATGTAATCCTATGTACCTGACATCTTTCACTCCAGAACATTAGGTTTGAACAGATTCATCTGTGTTGCTGTGTATAACTTCAATTCATTTTTATTGTTATATAATATTCCATTTTATGAGTGTGCAACAATTTAGGTGTCTACTGTTGATGCATATTTGCTTCCTTTTTTTCAGCTAACATAAACAATACTGTGAATATTCCTGTGTATGTGTCTTAGTATATATATGAATACATACTTTGTATGGCTAGGAGAGGAATTGTTGGGTCAAATGCTAAACTCTTTTTGAAAGTGGTGATTTAGGTTTACATGCGATGAAATGAAAATTAAAACCACAGTTATAGACATGGATGAACCTCACAAACCTAATGTTGATGGAATCTAGCTGGGAATTCTTATTCTTCCATATACTTTCCAATTTTTTTTTCCAATTAAAATTGTTAGTCTTTCGAAGATGTTATCCATTGTGGCAGATAGATGTGCAGTAGTATCTCATTATGGTTTTATTTTACATCTTTTGCCCATTTTTCTTATTTGGATTGTGTATCTGTCTACTTGGGCTGCCATAACAAAAATACCAGACTAGGTAGCTTAAACAAAAGGAATTTATTATCTCACAGTTCTAGAGGCCAGGCCAGAAATCCTAAATCGAGGTGCCAAGAGATTCAGTTTCTAGTGAGGGCTCTCTTATTGACCTGAAGATAGTTGCTGTCTTAGATTGTTTGGTGCTGAACAGAATACCGGAGACCAAGTAATTTATAAAGAATACAGATTTATTTCTTACAATTCTGGTGGCTATAAAGCCCGTGGTCAAGGGGCCCACCTCTGGCAAGGGCCTTCTTACTATGTCATCTCATGGCAGATGTGAGATGTCATCTCATATTCAAACCACAGCAGTCACCTTTTGTGTCCTCATGTGGCCTCTTCATATGCCCATAAAATGATCTCATGTCTCTTCCTTTTCTTATAAGGACACCAGATCTATCAGACCACTGGTCCACTCTTATGACCTCATTTAACCTTAATTATCTCCATAAAGTCCCAAAATCCCTATCTCCAAATATAGTCACATTGGGTATTAGAGTTTCAACATCAATTTTGGGGGAACACAATTTAATCCAAACAGATTGTGTTTTTTCTTGCTGGTTTAAGATAGCCGTCTTTTTGTCTTTTTTTTTTTTTTTTGAGATGGAGTCTTGCTGTGTCACCCAGGCTGGAGTGCAGTGGCACTGTCTCAGCTCACTGCAACCTCCACCTCATGGGTTCAAGAAATTCTCCTCCTCCCAAGTAGCTGGGACTACAGGTGTATACCACCATGCCCTGCTAATTTTTGTATTTTTGGTAGAGACAGGGTTTCACCATGTTGGCCAGGCTGGTCTCTAACTCCTGACCTCAGGTGATCCACCCGCCTTGGCCTCCCAAAATGCTGAAATTACTGGTGTGAGCCACTGAACCTGGCCTGTCTTTCCTGTTTTAAGTTTTTAAATTTTGCTCACGAGCCCTTTGTCCATTTTATGTGTTGCAGGTGTTTCCTCTGTAACTTGTCTTCACT